GTGTAAACAAACGCAACAACGCATGTGCAAGCAAACGTGTAAACGTTATTTTCAACACAGACAGATGTGCATACACACACAACACAACACAACTCAACACCACAACGCACGACTCACGATGAACTCAAAGCCGCCCACGGGCAGTGTTGGTGATCCTGTTGCAAATTGCAGAAGAAGGGACCGCTTTTCCTGCGAAAGTTCGCCAACACATTCCCAAAACCAATCAACCACCTCATCCTCGGAGTCAAACCCGCTGCGCACGTGTTACGTGGTGTGGTGTGGTGTGGTGCGAAGACGGACAGGGGCAAGGCGAGGTGTTGGTGGTGCAAAGCAGGCAAGGAATGGTGAGCACAGAAGAGAATACCCAGAAGACAACAACAAAACACATGGGGGCAAACGAATTCCATTCGCACACACACATTCACATGCACACACACATTCACATGCACACACACACACACAAACAACAGCACAACACAACACCAACCTGTATTCTGTGTGCTGGCGCCAGTCGTTGACGTCGATGTTTGTCTCACCGCTGATGATGAGCGCCAACTCCTCCTCGCGAAACAGCTGCACGAGCACCGGTGGGATGTATTCTGAGAAGCCACCCGACATGGCATTCAGCTGCGCACTCACTGCTTTTGTCATCTTCCACTCGCACAGCATCTGCACGTAGCCCCGCTTGTTCTCCTTGGGTGTCATGGGTGATGTCGGTCGTGTGAGTGTGAGTGTTTGCATGTCGTGGTGGTGATTGATGTTGGTTTTGTGCATCGCGCGAGCGAGACAACACAACGACATGGCAAACAGCTGCTACGTCAGCGGTCACGTGAACGTGAAGGTGAACGCACTGCACTTGCACACACATGCACAAACATTCACATGGATACACACCACACGGGCACACCACATATGCACCACCACCCCCCCCCACACACGTACACATAGATACACGCACTACCCACATCCCCCTACCTCCGTGACGGGGATGTGTTTGCCGTTTGGAATGAGCTCCTCCTCCAACACATCACCAAAGGCCGCGTGCTCAACACTGAACGTCATCTCAAGTCCGGCGTCGTCAATGTTGTTGCCCAGCATCCACTCCAGACTCTGCGCATATGTCGCATCAAACATTGCAACGTCCTGGCGTGCAATGCAGGTGTGGACGGAATGGCGTGTGTGTGTGTGTGTGTGTGTGTGCGTGCGCGTGTGTGCATGTGGGTGCGTGCGCGCGTGTGTGTGCGTGCGCGTGTGTGAAAGCGGGGCCGATAAGGGGTTACAAGAATGCCAGATAAATGCGCGGGTGAACATCTTTGCTGAACATTACAATCATTCGGCTGTGTTGTGTGGTGTAGGATGGTGCCACACAAGGATACAAACACCCTTTTCCCGCTCTCCATCGCTTCATATTACCACAGCAACACGCAGCGACCATGGCAGTACCTGGATGGTTGGTGGTAGGCCAAGGAGGTGTTTGTACACTGGAAGGGAAAGACGAACAGGCAGCGTCTGTTAACACGTGTGCATGTGTGATAGCAGTTGTGAGGTTACGGCAGAGAAGCAAAGAGCGAAAATCACAATGGGATCACAGTCTGCAGTAAACCAAAGGCAAACAAAAGACAAACAAACACACACAACCAAACGACCAAACAAACAAACGAACAAACAAACAAACGAACGAACAAACAAACAAACAAACAAACAAACAAACAAACGACCAAAAACACACACACAACCAAACAAACAAACGGACGAACCAACACACACCCCAAGTGTGTAACAACTCGTAGCACAGGTGTCAGGTGTTCACACCTGTTGGTGGAGGAGAGAGAGGGCGAGAATGCGGCCGACGAAATGGAAATAGGAAAGATGGTCCGGGTTGACACTCGAGTTGATGTTGGGAACGTACGACTGGCCTGAAGCCGTGAGCAGGGAAGACAAGCGAAGGCGGTGAATGACAAACCTAGTGGAGGCTGCACTTTGAACAATCTGAGAGAGGGGAGGAGGTGAAGAGCAGCAACACATGAAGACGAACAACACAGCACAACACACACATACAACACACACACACATACACACACACACACACAACGCGAAACAACAAGACAGCAGCAGGACACAGCACCACCGCGTTCCAACTTACCGTCGGGCGAGAGTTCAAACAGGGCGTAATCTGGATTGAAGATCTCTTTGCTCAGAAGCGCAAACCACTCCCGCTTGACGCCGTGGCCCTGACGTGACAATGACAATGACGGTGATGGTGGTGAGAATACCTTCAAGCCACAGCCATCGTGGGAAAGGAAGAGGACACGCACACGCACACGCACACACACACGCACGCACACGCACATGTACATACACACACACAGACACACACACGCATACACAGACACACAGAGACAAACAAGGTGACCCGACCCCACCACCCTATTCCCTGCACGGTGCACGTACGTGGCCTGCCTCGTCGCGGAATTCGATTGCAAACGGCGTAGCAACATCGCCGCGATCAAGCGCTTTCAGCCGCTCGCACGACGACTGCAGCAGATTGTCTGGTGGAGGTGGCGGTGAGGGGAGGGAGAAGAGAGGGTGGTGGGAAAAGGAAATCGGTGGGCATGAACACGAACAGGTACCATTCACACACTCACACAACACGCAAACACGCATACACACACACACATACACATACACACACACACACACATACACACACACGCTCACAGAGTGCACCCTCCAGCACCACCACCGCCACGACGGGAGCAACGGACTTCTGTCGACGATGAGGACGGGTGCGTCGGGGTGTGGTGTCGCCGTCTGCTCGTGCAGAGCAGACAATCTCTCGTTGAACCACTGACGACGCGACGAAAATGGCTGCTGCAGCACAGCAGGGCGGAACACTGGCGTGGTTGAATTTGTTTGTTTGTGTTGGTTAAGTGAAATGAGTACAAGGAGACAATAAGTGGTGCGAACAAAATTGCATGTCATCGCACAATCACACCTGCTCACATGCACGCCTGCACACACACACACACACATACACACACACGAGTGCCAGACCCCATTCTCCCTCACCTTTCATGAGTTCCTGGTGGTTGAGGACAAAGTCAAAGTCTTCGAGAAGAGCGGACGGACACACGCGCACGAGTTCATGGAACGCCGATGCGTGCGATTGCGCAAACTCAAGGAAACGCCCACTGCACTCGCGCGCAGAGCCCGCCATGCTGCATTGCAGGCAGTGGTGTGTGTGTGTGTGTGTGTGTGTGTGTGTGTGTGTGTGTGTGTGTGTGTGTGTGTGTGTGTGTGTGTGTGTGATGAGACGATGATGATGGTTGATCGAAGATGCCAGTGAAATGGGTCGTAGTTTGGATGATTGTGATGGCCGAGTGGGTATCATGCGGCGTGTCATCATGGTGGTCCGTGGACACAAACACACACATACGCACACACATACACACGCACGCAGACACACGCAGACACACGCAGACATACGCACACACACAGAGGGCACATTGCAGAGCAACGCGTTCATTACGTCACAGCATTCGTCTGTGTGCTCACCGTGCTTGGAAGAGTTGATACATGCCGCGAACAGCGAGCATGATGCGTGGTGCAAGCTCCTCCGTGGAGGCAGCCTGCCGCTCCCGCTGTTGTTGTTGTTGTTGTTGTTGTTGTTGTTGTTGTTGTTGTTGTTGTTGTTGTTGTTGTTGTTGTTGTTGTTGTTGTTGTTGTTGTTGTTGTTGTTTCTCCGTTGTATCTGCTTTCTCGTCCACACCACCCTTCTCCTCCTTCTCTTCCGTCTCCTTCTCCTCGCCCTTCCCATCTGCACTCAACCCAGTGCCATCATCTGCTGTTGTTGATGGCGTGTAGTTGGTCGCTTCACTCTCCGCCAAAACGAGCGATGTCTCTGCTGTCGTCGGTATTGTCGTTGTTGTTGTTGTCGGTATTGTTGTTGTTGTTGTTGTTGTTGTTGTTGTTGTTGTTGTTGCTGTCGTGTCCATAGGCGGCGACGACGACGACGGCGACGATGATGATGATTCGACCAAGCACAGCCAGTGATGCAACACCTCCCACAACTGCAAAGGGGTGTACATGTCCACGCGCGCGTGTGAGCGTGTGAGCGTGTGAGTGAGTGAGTGCAATTGAGTGAGTGTGAGTGAAGGAATAGCAATGATGCCTTCCTTGCATGTTCACAGTGGCCCAATTCAACACCCCCCTTCCCCGAACCGTTGCACGCCACCCACCTGTTGCAGTGTGTCCACCTCTCGATCAAGCAGTTGTAGCAGCATGTCATCCAGTTTCAGCTCATCGTCGTTCCAAATGCCTGCAAGCAGCTGCGATAGCAGCAGCGCCAGCCTCCGAAAACTGGGCACAACTTCCGCAAACTCGCCGGACGTGCACAGGAGCTTTTGTCCGGACAGCAGCGTGCATGACACTGTCTCCTTCACCACAGCCTAACGGGGCGCATGCACATGTGAGCGAGTGAGTACGTGAGTGTGTGAGTGAGTGAGTGAGAGAGTGTGTGTGAGTGAGTGAGTGAGTGAGTGAGAGTGTGTGTGTGAGTGAGTGAGTGAGTGTGTGTGTGTGAGTGAGTGTGTGTGTGAGTGTGTGTGTGCGTGTGTGTGTGTACAAGCGTGCACCACACATGCTAGTGATTTGTCGCTCGCACCACTGCACCAGCAGCATTCCCGTTCACACGTGGGCACAAGCACACGCCGTGTGTGTCACCTGGGTGAAGCTGTTGCGGGAGGTGCAGAGGTGCTTCAGAACCGCGAGCGACTGGACGGCACCGGTGCGCAAACACGACGCACACGCTGTGAGATGACGCACACGCGCAAGCAAACACACGCGTGCAAGCAAGACAACACGTACCAGCAAACAAACAACCAAACAAACAACAAAACAAACATACGCGTCCAAGCAAACAAGCAAACCAAATGAACATAACTAACATACACGTCCAAACAAAACAAACAAGCAAGTAAACAACGCGCGCACACCGTTTC